GCCTCCTAATAACCCCCCTCTCTGAACTGGCTTCATCACTCTGCTCTCCTCCCCACTGAGAGCTGGTGTGTGTGAGCAGACTGGAGCATCATCCAGGTGGGGCCGCCCAGGGATTGGAGTGCCCAGGAGAGGGATACTAATATTACACACAGACTGACCCCGGAGCACGAACTGATCAGACTACGACACTGTTGAACCCAGTGTCCCAGTACTGCGTGTTATAGTCAGACTTGTGTCTGAGGTCTTCTTCAGACAGCGGGCGCCGCGCTGAGAGAGGCGACCATCAAGGACCCGCTTACACCCCTCCCTCGGCCCACAGACAAACACCTGGGAGCTACTCACCTGACCTCCTGTGAAAGACTGATTCTAGCAATGAAGCCAGTTTTACCCTGGTTAGTTCTTCCTGCGGTGGGGTCTCTCCGGCTGCCGGTGAAGCACTGTCCCTCTCTCCGAGCCAGCCTCTGGGATCACCGGGATGGGCGCCAGTGTCCGGTCAGCCTCACTGTCCGGCGCGTGGCTCAGACCACCCAGCCCGGGGGCCCCCCCCGTGTCCGAGGTCAGGGAGTGGGGCGCCGACACTGTTTACCCCCTGTGTTAGATTTTGAAATGCCTTTCAGGTTTGTGGTGCATAGGAACATAAGACCGTAAGACGGGTCGGGTCACAGACGAGAGGAGGTGACTCAGCCTGCCTAGTAGTCAACTGATCCCCGGATCTCATCCAGCTGTTTCCTCCAATGGCTCTTACAAGGCCGTGCAGCGTGTCCCCCACTCCCACCACCCTTTGTGTAAAGTAGAGCCTCCTCTCCTGACTGGAGGACCTTATCCAGCTGTTTCTTGAGAGAAGTCAGGGTATTGGCTTCAACAACAGAGACTTGGGCAGCTTGTTCCCCGCTCCCACCACCCTTGGTGTAAAGACATCCCTCCTGTTGTCGGTTTCAAATGCACTTCAACAGTTTCCACCAGTGTCCCCTGGTTTGTGTTGCTTTGTTTGTTCTGAAGGCCCCCTCCGGGTTCACCAGGCAGATGTCCTTGAGGATTTTGAACACCTGAGCCAGCTGCCCTCGCAGTTGTTTCTGCGCAAGTGAGGTATTTTGTAGACGGATGCTGAACTCATTCCGGTCCGGAAGCTGCGGGAGCTCCGACAGCGCTCCGACACGTGGCTCAGTCTGGGAGAGACGGGGAGAAACCCCACCCCCACACCTCCACACCCCCACACTCAGACACGGGCCTCTCAGACTGGAGTCATGACACCGGAGACGAGATGTGAAAACCACAAAGTGCTCAGTTTATTCAAATTAATTTATGACAACCTGCACATCGTAATAATTAATAAACTCTGTTTCCTTTTTTAGCAAGTGTAATAAATTAATGCTTTTAAAACTCAGGCGGTATGAAAAACGAACTTTGCGGATATATAAGGCATTTAAAAATACAAACATTCTATAACGTTTATTTACAATGTTTCTTAGTATTTCATACAACAGTTGTCAAGAGAACCGCATTGTGATTTTCTGGGTGTATGGGACACACAGGAGCGGGGGGTGTCCCCCTGAAGACAGGTGTGTCTGTTATGAGAGAGGAGGTCAGAGGTCAGAGGTCAGAACCCCACTCTCCTCTGCAGAGACGTGTTTGAGAGTCTTCTCCTCATCTCCACCAGCACTCTCTGGAGCAGCTGCAACTGATAAACGCTGTGGGCTGGAGACAGGCAGAGCCCCCCTCTCTGTCCTGGATAAATATACGACGACCCCCATCCCCCCCCAGATCAGCTGTCGTTCTGAATCCATTCTGCATTCAGCCCTTCATGGGCAAAGCGCTAGTGGGTTTGAGCCTGCTCCTTTTGGTGCCCGGTGCTGTGTCTCAAGACACGCCGGGGGGCCATGTCGGGTCTCACGAGCCCCACGTCCTGTCTGCCGCCTCAGTGGCGGGTATCCCTTTCACAGCGGGGACAGGCAGGTTTCAGCTGTGCGGGTGTGCTCCATGGCCCCTGCTTCAATATGTCTTTCTTATTGCATGCAGAAGTTATTGCTCATTACATTGTGCTTAGAAGGAAGAAATAAGACACTTCTTTTAAATACACAAGGGACACAGCCCCATTGCAGAGTCCATGGCAGTGACTCATGGACACACAGTAACCAAGACACACCTGCTCTGTCCCCCAGGGGACCTGTCTCCTCCTGAGCTGTACTGCTCAGCCAGGGGCCCCGGTCATGGTGCCGTGGTGCCAGGGGGGCTGTAGGCTCACAGTGCAGCTGGGCTCTTAATGACCTGAATCAGCTCATTAATGGCTTAATTGGATCAGTTCACCAGCTCCTCCTGGCTCTTCAGGTGCTACAGCTTTAAAGAGACTAAGACA